AGTTCCGGGAAACTAATTTTCCCTGAACAGTTGCATTAGACGTATTTGATGAGTCTGACTGATAAAAAATTTTTTTTATGATATACGTGTTTATAAATTCCTGTAAAAGGGCGTTTTATTTGACACTGACTGGGGATTTCACCTTATTTCCGCTTCCGGTATTTAGTTAAACATATGGTGCAGATGTATTAAGTTTAAAAAGCTGGATGCCTTTTTTCTTCTTTTATTTGCATTGCCTTCTGTATTAAGACTAAGCGATAATCATTGTTTGTGATTGCATCGGTGGCACAGCGGTTAGGACGCTCGCCGACCATGCACATGGTCTTGGGTTTGATCCCCGGCCAACAAACTCCTTTACCTCACTTCGCCAGAAATAGTGCTGGTAAAGAGGAAAGGTTGGGAACGGGGCTAGCAACCCCATGCTGTAAAAATAAACACTGCTACAGAAACTTCCAGCCTCTATCTTGAAGCGCCATGTTCCAATGGGGACTTGAAGGAATAAAAAAATGATCATTGTTTGCTGTTGGCGTACTTTATCTTTGTTTTCGAAATTTCAATTACTTTCCAATATGTCAAATACTAAGTTATTGGGGTTTTGCAACACAATGTTTAATTCACGAAAAACACCCATCCAGACATGGAAATAAGAACAAACAGTTCTGAGAAGAGTCTCTTTTTTGGCGAATCAATTTACTCAGCTGTTTAGTCACAGTTATACATAACTGTTTTTCATACGGGTATACTAGGTTTGTCAAATAAGAATAAAAATTAATTCGAGTTATTGTTTACGTCATCCCAACATTTCAAAAAATGTGTTGAATAACCAGAATTGCAAGGGGGATGAGGCTGAATATTAGTAAGTTTCGATTTCGCGTAAAATGAAAATATTCTTAAAAATTGAATGTTAATGATATATCCTGGAGACAAGTATCAAACTGAATTATGTAGTAGGTGAAGACAGCAAAAAAAAGGTTAAGTAAGAAAATGATGATAAATAACATGCACAAAGTAGCGTTAGTAACAGAATATTGACAATAGTTGAGCTCTGAATAATATTCAATGTAGAAGGAGGAGATCTAGAAGCTTCTTCTGTGTGTATAAATCATGTTTCTCAATCCAGGTCACCAAGGCCTCGGCGATGCGAAGTATACGGAAGCTTACCGTTTTTAGGAGGCTTATTCCGATCTTTTAGATAACTTTGAATGTATTCTCCCTGCGTACTGAGTAACCAGTGTCGAATATATGTCCAATTATAGCACTCCTTATTGAACCGTTGTTACCTTTTTATAGCTAAGTAGGACAGTGTTCTCTTTTCCCAACTGTGACCGTTAACATCTATTTTTCTACTATGCACCTTTTTTTGGCCAAGTGGTATGAAGTGATCAGGCTTGATCAATTTTGTTAATTAAACTTTATTCATACAATTAGAATCTAGACTTTTGCATTGTTTTACCGTTTTAAATAGTGAGTTTCTGTTACCTGCCAGTCTGAAGCATTTTATCTAGATATTATCAGAGAAACGGTTCAGAGTGATAATAGTAATAATAATAATCATAGTAATGAGAGAAATGTACATAGATTAACTAAATAAACAAAATAAATAAATAATTGTCTATCCCTTTACGGCCGAGGCAGAAGTAAGGATTGTACATACTTCTTTTGTAGTTAATAATAAATAAATAGCCCAAATTATCCATTACAAAGTTACGTTTGAACTGACTTGAAGATTCTAGGACGTCAGCTGTGAAAGACTCACAATAATTGCAGGCGTCTCTTGTGAGTCAGTTAAATTATCCAGTGAAAAATAGTGAAGGTTGAAGTAATCAGTCTAATGACTGTAGGTACATTAAAACAATCAGTTTCATTTGGTGTTCGTGGTTTTATCAACCAGCTCAGGAGAACTAGTTGCCTACTGGGTTATAACTTCACTTCAGCTACCGATGGTAGACTTGACTGCCATGTGAACTAGAGATAAGTAAATGCCATTTTAAACGTAGTAGAGTAGGTACTCTGACATTTACTTTAATCCTAGTTACTTGCATACTATGTGAACAGAACAATGATATAAGCCAATCAGCAAATAATTTCAATATTTTTTAAATGATTAATAATTATAATCTGAAACTGTAAAATGTGCATTAAAATACACTTCTAATCCTTTTAGCTGCCAGTTTTAAATATATATTCATACTTTGAAGGTTATCTTCTGAAAACTGTTCGCTGTGTTATGCTGCTTTATATTGTTACATTAATCATAGAGGATAATTGTTATGGCAATAATCATTATATATTTTGCCCTAACATGTTTCAAAGCATCATAAACTACATTTTTTGTAAACCAAATAAATCTACAGGTTTCCCCACTTATAAAAATTGTGTCACTCTGGTACACACTATTGTTTTTCTTTATATAATACACATGATATAAAATGTTCTTTCCCCAAGCCAACATTTTGAGACAGATTTCTGTAGTTAATTTGTGAAGTATAACCTGGTGATATTCATGCTTCACACAAGATACGGATTAAATGTGGTAATAGTTTATTGTTTCCATTATAGAGGGGTATAATGTCGATTTCAATACAAAGCAAGGTTGGGGTAATTTTGGTCAGTGTAAAAGCACTTACCAGGTAAAACACTTTGCCGCCACTGTTTTGTTCTGTTTCGACCATTTCCGCTAGTTTTCATATGCTTCTCTTCTATGTTACAAAATCCAGTGTAATGTCTTTCATAGTTAAACTTTAGAAATCCCTTTATCTGCTATGTGCTACTAGGAAGCGAATGGTGAGCTAAAATAAGTAAACTGTTGAGAGTTTCTCTCAAAATCTAGTGGAAATCTCCCGTACCTTATATATGCATCTGACATTTTAAATATGTCCATACTTGAGAGATGGAATACTTTTATTCAGTTTGCACACCTATTTAATATAAACACAAATTTGTTCAGGGACCTTTTCTGTAACTCAGGTTGTTTCTTTCACTTTTCCACCTGATGTTCAACAGATATTTCATGATACCGGTTACCAGTCACATGCCTAGTTATTTATAAGCGATGATTTCTTAAAAAGAGAACATATAGTTTCTAGATAACCCTTCAGTGAAACCCTTAGAAAGTCTTTCTATTTGTTGTGAGTTTAACATTTCCAAATACAGCAAGTTAATCTGTTCCTTCTGTTTATCTAGATATCAGGTAATAGTTCTTTTCAATTATTGAGTTCTCTTTGAATTATTCAGTTACTACAAGAAATAAACCTTTTATTCACCTAAATTTTATTTAGGTAAACAAATTTTTATGAGTTATTATGACTTTAAGCTTCACGAGGGAAGTGAAAACATTTGGAAACTTATTTGGTTGGGAGTGAATTTTCCTTCCTGCAACTGTTTATTTTACAATTTAAAAAATTGTATAAACAAACAGATAATTGATTTTCCAAACGTTCTAAGGACAAAAAAGTCATTTTTCCAGGATGTATGCAACATAAAAATAAGTGTTTGACATCAGATCTAGGTAAAAATATACTGTCTATTCATGAAAAATGAGTGGTAGTTCGGTTTTGAATATTTATTCAGTTGCAAATGCGGTACAATTAAGTCATCAAAAGTGTACTATACTAAGCAGTATGACAACTGATAAAAAGGAGGAAAAAAGAATACAACGATTACAGTGGATTAAAAAAATTCCTCTCTTTGTGTTTCCTTCCACAGGCGGGGAATAATGCAAACTACAGCATGAATTAAATTTATTTTGGTTAGGAATCAATTTGAAATAAGGATTTAAGCCATTGGTCCAGATGGACTTGTAGGTATTATTCAAAGAAGTGCAATGCTTTAGTTGACATCAGTGTGACCCGTCTATGGATTACTAACAGTGTAACATAACAGATTAACTGAAAGCTAGTAAACAGTGGACAGTGTGAAAGTCTCTATACTGATATCAGTAACACGTTCCAGATGAAAACTTTGTTGACAGATATGTTGTAACTTCTCTGGAACTCAAGAACAGCCTAAAAATAACTCTGCACATATAAAGATAATAAACACGCAAAATCACTGGACATCCATTGTCGTAGCAGTAATTGCGATGCTTAAGTTCGTATGACGACAACTGAACTCTCATGTAATTCGCCACTTACTCTTATGTAAATGTCTGCCACCTAGGATTAAGAACCTGTATTTCTTACTTCATTCAGTCTGTTTGTACGGTAACATGCTTAGAATTACACAATTGATTTCACACGTTAATAATTTTCTGTATGTTGATGTCTTTATCTCAGTGCTGTGCTAACTTAATATTATCGTAATTCAGGAAAAAGTAATAATTTAAGACCATTGACTTGCGTTTTAACTATAACTCAGCCTAGATTCTTTGTAGTTACAAATAACTGAGAGTATTAAGAAAGCAATGGGCACTGAGATACACTGTGATAAAGTATGATTTCATAAAACAGTCTTTTTATTTGATATAGCTCATATTGATATGGTATCATTACTTACAGACGACGCCCCTGACAAACTTACTACTCTAAATTATATCAACTTAATCAGATTATTTTCGGATTTATATGGTTCTATTAGTAGTAATTCTTTCCCTTACTGAACACTAATACCAAAAACATGGAAAATGATATTGACATTAAGTTCCGGGAATGAGAAATAATAGAATCTTATGGATCTAGATATAATACGATTAAGCTGATATAACTAGGAGCAGCATATTGTGCTGGGAGCATTATCATTAAATATAATTTGCAATATTAGTATGTGCTTTGCGGGTAATGTGCACTTCGATGGGGAAATTTCTATACAGTACTGAACAAGGATACCAAAACTAGTATGGTAATAATAATTGCTAATACTAAACAGTGACACGAAACTCACGTAACATCTAGTACTGCTGGTTTAAATCCTGCCGCATTCCATGATCTGATTTCACCTTCAACCATCGCCAACTACGTTAATAACAGTCTACCAACTCAAGACAACTTTAAATAGTTTCACCACCAACAGAACTATAAAACAGTAGGCGATTTAAACTGAGAATTTACGAAATACTATGTTATTATTTTTCAGATTATTGATAATTTAGATACTTGAGGACCTATTTGCTTCATTCAGTTGAACAACACCATATTTAGTTTTCGTCTCCGTTTGTGTAGTTGGACAGCTCTCAGACGCTACTCACTTTGTATCATATAACGGAAAAGACTCCCACATGATGAAGATGGGATTCTTTCGTCTTTGGTAAGTTTTCTAACGTTACACGTTATTTCTCACCTAAAAGTAGCAGCCAGAAAGTTTGTTTAGCTACAGACATTTCACAACAATTTTCTCGCTGTAATAAATTTTTGTACGTAACTTTACATAGCCGTTAGTGTGCTGCATGAGAATTATCTCCGTTAAGATAAATTATTCAAAATCTTTATATTTAAGGCTTTTAACACACCATTAAGGCATAATAAACAGTTGCTAAGAAAGTGGTGGAAGGTATACCCAGATAAACGAAAAATCACATAAACATATGAAAATTGATATCCTATAATGAATGGCTTCTTTTGCTTTTGTTAAACAAAACTTCTCTGTTCAGTTAATGGTGGAATCTTAAGAACTTTTTAAGTGCATATAGCTTTAACTGTGGCTATAGCTATCAGTTGAAACTATCGACATGAAAAAAGAAAACAATTAATTTCACCCGAACTCTAAACAGAAAGGTAGCATATTTATTGAATCGTACAGGGCATTATTTCTCAGAGTGATGCAGGTAGATATATAAAGGTTATCTTTGGGTACAAATATCACAATATCATGCTCCATCTACATAAAATACACATTTGTATTGGTGAGCTGATGATAGACCATGATTCCGATTTCCAAAATGTTTTAAAGCTCTCACTTATATCTTCAAATTCACTGCATTCCGCTGATTTATCAAACAAAAAATTCAAATTTTAAATACATGATGTTTTTGTCCAAATAAATGTGTTGTTAAACTTGAGGGTATTCATTAACGCCCATCGTCTGATAGTTTTAGAAGCGATAATGAAATATTTGAACAAAAAATTTGAATGAAAACTATAATGAAACGTGAAAAACTGAGAAATCAAGCAAAAAGTGCAGCAAAAGAAGATGGATGGGTGAATGAGTCATAACTTCAGTGCAAGAAAGATTTTACGAGATAAATACAAGCAACTAGTTGTTGGATAAATATATCTTGATAGAAAAATGAAAGTTAAGCATTGTGCAGCATAATTTCGCTTTCTACTAAATTCATGACAATAGTTCTGGTTTGATATACAGTGTAATTCAAATGAAAAGAAAAATGTTTTTACGGTCTGAAGATGTTCCGCTTTCTGCTGCTTTTCGTGTTCTGAAATTTGTACCAACATCAGTCCTTGGCATATTATCGAATTTAAAGTGTAATTGATTGTGTGAAGCCATTTTTCAGTCGTTTCAGTCTAATACATCATTTAGTTTGAAGCAAAGACGTTGGAGATGGTCCAAGTGTTAAGTATTAGCCTGAAATTATACATTTTCGTTCAGTTGGCCAAAAGTAGTCCATTCATATTATCAGGTACCTGGACTTAATGGATTGGCAAGTCAAAGAACCATTACTGTTCTAAGAGGTGTAGCAAAGTTTCTGTTACGGAATGGGGACGAAAGCGATGACACATATAACATCAAATCAATTGAACGTCATTATGACTGATGGAGACAGTAGTGAAACCGATATATTATGTAACAGTGTGAAAGGCAAATAATTAATAATCACTTTGTTCAAGCTGAAAATTAAAATGTTTCTAGTTGAACAATAATTTATCTCCTCACATTGGCATTGAATGCATAAAAAGACGTGAATTTTTGTATTTAACAAGTTATAATATTCACTATTTTATTACTTGGATCACTCATGAAGTTCTCTAAAGCAGTACTTTTACTTATCAGTATGAAAAAAATACGTCTGCTAGTCTTATAAACTAAATTTTTTGGGTATTAATGGAAACTAACATTCTTACCACTGATAAATAGTTTCATTCAAATCACAGTTCATATTCAGATGTCGGGAATGATACGTATGAAACTGATTTACTTAATCAGTAAGCGTGAATAATTAGGCTGCTAGCTGATAAGCTATTTTCATATACACCGGTACATGCTAGTATGCTGTTTTTTCGTGATTACTAATTTTGTAAAATAGAATACTTTTCGTCATGTTAACTTGTCTCCAGATAAAGATCGACACAATCAATTAATACTGATGGCCAGATATCTTACACAGTAGTCATTAAAATCTCTTATATTACTTCAAGTATCAGATTGCAATGATTTGATCGACTTCAAGTTTGATCATGAACTAGCTTTATTTAGAGAATCACTGAAAGCCGATGAGTGCTGCCAGTGCTGTCAGTTCATGAATGAAATATTAGACTTGGTTACGTGTGCAGGATGTACTGTTTTTTCATCTCTTTCCTTTTCAAATGGAACATAAGGATTCAAGCTTCAGACTTGAAGTCTTAGTGACGTTGATGTTTTTTCAGGGTTAGATTGCTAGCCCCACGCCTAGCCTATTCTCTTTAATTGGATTTTTATCGGATGATAAACTGAATGAGGTTAAGAAGTGAGTCAGTTGGGAAATAAATCCCCGAACACATGTGTTTGGTGAGCATTTCATCCTTGAATCACTGACACAGGTGTACAGTCAGTTTACGCTAACAATATCGATCTCAGACTGCTATTATTTAATTAGTTCCGTGGCAAATCAGATTCAGGAACACTCAGAATTACTTGCAACTCATAGTAATTCATTTCTCCACCCCACCCCTGTGTTCTAATTATTTTACTTGTTTTTCAGTTTGTGAGGTCAAACTCCAAAGGCTCACAATTATAGTTTAGTTTAGTTTCAATTGAGTTTGTGACAGTTGTTTATCTTAATGCAACAAGCAGGACTGCAAACCTCAGAAACTTTGCCTCCTGGTTTAAATATAATCACTGTAAAAAGTACACAAATGTATAATTCAATATCCTGTACCCAAATATCTACCTACCTGACGGAGGAATTTATTCCAAGACCACAGAATAAGTTGATGAAGTTATTGAAAGTGTTTTTTTATTTATGGCCTTGGAGCAGTCTACTATTATATATCATCATGCCTTCTAATTAGTCACTGACATGTAATTGTCAATGCAATAATGAATTTTCTAGGTGCAACTGTTTTGTAGTAACATCTATGCAATTACAGTGTTTTCTAGGGTGATAAAACATCTGTCACTCAAAATTACTGTTTCTCACACCAGTAGTGGGCGGAAAACACGACTACAAACAAATCATGTTTTGCTTCCTGGACATTTTCTGATAATTTCACTTTATTTACCTAAGAGTTTTCTGTATCTTGTGTATTTAATATAGAAAAACGTACATTCTATTAATTCAGAGAGTATATATAGATATATATTTACAGTATGGGACATCAGTAGGCAGTTTTTTTTAAATTTTAATACTACCAAAACATTTGTTTAAAATGACATGTTTTATAGGTGAGGATGGTTCAGAAAAACAATTTTGCCAAGTTGTTTAAAAGCTATCTTAGTTTTTCTTTATTTCTGACCTTCGATTTTTATTGATGAAGAAAATAAAATTCATTTTTACCTGTGGAAGCCGTTTATGTTTTTTTTGCATTAAGTTTTATGGTGGTTAAAAACTGCAAAAGTCTTTTGTCACTTACTTGACGAGTGACAAGTTATCAATTTAACATAATTTCAGATATTAAATCAGGATGATACAATGGTCTGCTTTTTCATATTATCAGCATACATTAGATTGTCACTGTGGTTGCTCACATTCAGTCTGATTCAACGTGACAATGGTTACATTTTGGCCCTATTTCTGTTCTAAATCTCAAAATGCTACATTTAAACAGACTGTTACAGAATGACTATTTTCATAAGTTTCAGGTTTCAAAAAACTTTATTCACTCAACGCAGAGAACTACTACTTACTGCTTTGAAAAGACATACTTGGACAATTAAAAAAGTGAAACAGGAAAAATAAGAGTTAGAATATCTATAAGTCCAGAGACTTGAGCAGGCCATATATGTTTCAAAGCCTTTCCACTCCTCATTAAATAAACTAACATCAGGGTATTTGTCGTTTTCGAAACCACAAGGACATTCTAATATTTATGATTAAATGATTTTTTTAAAATCTTCTGATACTCCCGTACTTTAGGTATGCTGCATGTGTCAAGATGTTATTTCATATTACAGGGCTTGTTCATTTTAGTTTTAAAGTTTCCATCTGTGGGCATAAATGTCTCTTATTATTTTTTTACAGTAGACCGTTTTGTTTTGAAGTGAATGTTGTGATAAATCCTTACAAGAGGGCCGCTTTTACTGGTGCTTGATAAGCAGCTAAAATTATAAACCTCATTTCTTAATGAGCTTTTATAGCATATCTTGAAGTAATTATTTTGAATAATGCCCAGCAAAGCAAATAGCGGATACATTTGCCGCTGGTGTCCTCACTGACTGTTAGGGTTCTCAATCCATTTAAGGTTTATAATGAATTTATGACTCCATATTTGAGACATGAAGCTTCATAAATCTTGTCACTTTTGAAAGATTTGTTGAAATCATGAGCTCCTCAGTGGTAATGCTTAAACATTATTTGCGTTTACGTATCATTTAGAACTCTGATGTGAATTCGACAAACAGCTGATATCTACACACATAACAGATATAACGAGTTATCCGTATTCGTATGGATGCCCAGATATTTTTACCATATGTAAGGTGAATTTATGTAATATCTATTGATGCATCATCAGTCTGTGACGTTGATTAAGTAAGTGAGAGAAAAAAGCATAATTTATGAGGTATTAATTTATTCCTTATTTTTACTATCGTACATCAACTATGAAGAATTTTTTTATTGATTATAAATTTTGTGGGATAGTCCTGAAATAATGCAAGGCTGTTTGAAAACCGCATATATTTACGAAGGAACAACTGCACTGATATATTTCACATTCTGGTTAATCTGATACTTATCATTTAGCTTGATTTTTCATTTGTTTATATATTACCTTATAACTGATACACAGTTGATATTTTATCATTAATAAAACAGACGCATTGTTTATCCAAATGTGATAAGTTATTTAAGACCACTAATGTATCCCTTATTATGGACTATATGTATACATGTATGAAAATTCAATAGACCCACACTTTTACTCACCTGAAATTTTATCTCAACAACTAGTTGTTTCTCGGATATCAAAGATTATCGAGCCCTGAATGTGACAAATTCGTCTTTCCTGCAAACAGTCAACTTTCTTTTACTCTAACTAGTTTTAATTCAAAATATGCGTCTATTTCATGCAGATAATGTTTAAATTTCCAACTTTCATTGGTTGTAGAATGAGGTTATTACGTTGCACATTTTAAAATTACAAATAATTTTGAAGTTTTTTCAAAGCTCCTAAAGTACAAATGTCTTATTATGATTTTTATAATTCCTTATTCTCCCAGGTTCTGCGATTTTCTTCCTTTTCATGCCAAATCTGCTGACTGTTTATTATCATTTTTATTATTATTATTGTCATTATTATAAAGTCTAGATTTCTTAATTATATGAAATATCTATATTCCTCAATTTATTTTTCATATTACATTCTTTCTAAGATATCTTGTTACAAATGATACAGGTCATTATTCTAACTAACCGCTGCAGTAAAAATAGAAACTTTTAGTGTTATTAATATTCTCAGAAATATCAACTCAGTTTTAATATAAATATGTTTACCTGCGGCAAAATAAGCAAATTATGCTTAACCATGAAGTGGACCTTTTAAGTTCTTCTCTGTCATGAATGCAAAGTATGCTTTTGCTTCAACACTTTGATAAGCCAAACATATTTGTCTGATAGGTGATATTTCATACTTCAACACAAAAATGCAGTTTTTCATATTTTTGTTAAAGGTTTCTGGGTCACGCTCAATAAGGCAGTGTTTTTTTTTGTTATGTGGATTTCTGACAATTATAATGATATTTATTGTTGTGCGGAAATCCTGAATTCCATCGGAATGGAAACAAAAGGTCAGTCAACTAAATATTAAAAATTAGTTGACGTCTTTTGTTATGTTCACGAAGCATCTTACTATTATCCTTAGTAATGTGAAATTAGATGGTTATAGTGGTAGCATACAGACGAAAACCAGTAAGTCGGTAGAAAAAGCAGCAAATACAGGACTTCACGTGAACACAGAGAAGACAGAGGTACTGAAAATAACTAGCCAACGACAATAAAAACAAGTACCAGTCACTGTCGACGGAAGAAATTGGAAAGAAGTTACTTCTTTCACTGATCTAGGCAGCATCGTTACAATTACAGGAGGAACGGATGGGGATATCAAAACAGCAATCACAAAAGCAACTTAGGATGTCATCACTGAAATCCCAATGAGGAACGACACGTTTGGCGTCTGAAAGTGACATGGAGGAGATCGTGTCAGGAGAAGACGAATGGTTATTGACAATAGTGCAGTTAGATAAAGAGAACTACCGAGAACAGGACAAAAGGGATATGTGTTGCTGGACCCCTATGTTCCACCCGGAACCTACGAAAATAATAACAATATAATAACAGCGGAAGGATACAGAATGATTATTGGATTTGTGACATGACATTTACCTCAAAACAGTCATTTCATGCTAAATGAATGTAGATTAATCTAATGTCTTTGATTTCTGGAACTGCTGGATAAATAATTTTTTAATGTGCCTTTTATAGGTGCTGCTTGATCTTGGTCAGTCACCAAACACACGGGACAAAGCCGATTTAACTCCCCTTTACTATGCAGTACTGAATAACTCAATATCTTTGTGTGTTGAACGACTGCTGTTCGACCATTCACCACTAGGCATATCAGATGAAGCAGGCCTCCAAGAAATACATCAGGTGAGCTTATTTTCAAGATTTGTCTTATATTTTATTTCGCATCACAAATTGGGTGCTTAGTATCTTAGAGTCACTACTTTACTTTTGATGAATGATTTCATTTAAGTGTCATTCAGTTTATGTGATTTTTGAGCACGGAAAGTTATGCAGTAAATAATTAATTTTTCAATGTAAATTACAAGGACTCTACATTTTTAAGGTTGCCCTATGTACCTTGTTTGTTCCACTGGTTTTATGATTTGTTATCAGTGAGGATCATTTTAGCGAGATATAAAGTTGGAAAGACGACAAAAAAATTATAGCCGTCGACAGATGTGACCCTTATGCATTTTTCATGATGGGATAAAAAAAGGATAGTATAATTTCTGAAGTCTTTCATTTTAGTTGTCTGCAATCTCTATATTCTTCAATCCAAAGTGTAGTGGTCTTTCTGGCTGGTGATAAATACACGTCTTATGTTCACTCCCATAGTAGTTTAATCAATACACCAATTTGCTGCAGACGATGGTATTTCATGCACAAAATATTCTCATTAGGACAACTATTAACTTACTTTATGTAATATGTTGAGTTGAAAGATGTGACATGAAAACTGCATGTTTCACAGTGCTTCACTCGAAAATCCAATAGTGTAAAGCGAATTATGTCATTCTTATATAGTAATTATTTAGAGTTTCACCAAATGGAATTTAGCCAACAATAACTTCAGGACGTGTGAAGCATCCGAGTTAATTATATTATCTCTTTAGATGCTACACATACTCGATATTTCTCTACGAATACAAAATTGAGATTTAGGGTTTTCACTTGTATAATAATAAAGCTTTTAGTGACTAGTGTTACACTAATCGAACACAAATTGTACGTTGTAACAACCGAGAATTATTGAGTTCGACCTTGTCAAAGACGCTTTATGTGAAAGTAATATATTTGGAAACGCATCTTTAATAGAATGGTGAAAAAACAACATTTATCATATAACGCATATTAATATTTCGCCTGTAATTATTTATGCATAAAAACACGACGACACATGCTTTTTAGTTTACCATAGTAACGTAATTTACAAGAGTTATCTAATTGTATGTGATTTTCACCATCGCATTTCCAGGTGGAAAGCTGATAATAGGCGAATAACTATGGGAATAAGTGTTCCTTTCTAATGTGTCTTAATTTCAAGCAGAATAAGGCGAAGTCTGGAATCTGTGTATTGACTGACTTTCGATTTCATGCAGATCACTCCTAGAAATTAATAGTTAAATTCCACTGAACAGTTCAACAATCTATGACCTAAATAATGATTCATTTTTGAATTAACTAAGAATGAACCGAACACATCTAGATTTAGGATTAAAACGTTTGTCTGATATTTGTGCTACGTTTCTTTTTCAAATGCCCCAGATATAAACTAGACTTGTATCCCTATTTTAGTAAAAACATGCTACATACACAATACACGCAACACGTAATACTAACTCTCCTCAAGTATCATAAACTAGAAAAGCCCATTGGTTTACAACAGCTCTCTAACTGTAGTCTGTTAGTGATGAAATCCATCTGCCAGGATGATGAAATCCGAACAATAGTCTTCTCAGTAAATTAAAATTGCAAGGCACTTAAATATCTCAAGTTTTGGATTGGGAAAGCTTGTTTCTGTTTCGACAGTTGTGGTATTTACGAAGCTGTAATGCACATGTTCCTTTAGAAATAAAAGTTATCTCTTTTTTGGTACTACTACTTGAGACTTGCTTTTCATAAAGTCGTGTATACACAGATTTCCAGATTTTACGATGATTATAAGGAAAGCTTATTTTAATTTGCCATATTCTCATGGATTACGACGAAGTTAGTTTTTTTTATTTTTGGCATTTCAACTGGATGTTAAGGTAATCTCGAGTTTTTGGGATGATAATTAACCGATAATGTATTTCCTGACTCCGTGTCACTTAACTAATTTGAACAAACGGTTGATTAAATAAACACCGATTAGTTACAGGATTTCATGATGAGCTGACATTGGTTAGAGAAGCAGTGGGAAACCTGGGAGTACTGGACAGCTGTTTCGTCCTAGTTTGAGATTCTTCATCAGCACACACCAACTGGGATTCGAACCCAGGACCCTCTGGTTACAAGGAGAGCTCGTAGACCATTAAGCCACTGGTACCCGACCCGATGGCTAGCCCATGAATTATAACTTCTGCAAATTCACGATATAGCGCAACCGCTAGCCAATGTCTTCGGAGAGTATTTGTCCTCACACCCGACCTGCTGCACCCTACTGGTCACGACCTCCCGCTTGAAACCCAGGTAACTATCTACCTGAATGGGGCCAGTCGCTAGTGAGCATCTCATTGATATTCAAGTATTGGTTTGTAGAGAAATTTAAATTTAAGCAAACAGTTGGTAACTATTTATTCTTGAACCACAAAATACTAGAATGTGAGAGACTAGCTTACAAAAGTTTCCATATATCTGCGGATGTTCAAACCATTTTCAAATATAATGTCTTGAAAAATTTGACCATTGGGTGAATGATATTCATTATTTTTTAGTCAGCGTTTTCTAGGAGATCACAATCTGTGTTAGTGGTAATGTAGCGTTTACTGATAACATTATTGGAATGGTTGTGAGTGATGTGGTGAGATTGGCGTTTGTATCTTTCAATCAATATAAACAGCATTGGAAAACATCCCACGCGGCGACATCAAAATCCTTATCAACCACATGAATGCAAGCCAAACTAGGAACAAACAATTTTTTTTCCTTCACGTTCCTTGTGAAACATAGGGCTTCAAGCTAGTGGTTTGAAGTTTCTGTAGTAGTGTTTAATTTTTACAGGATGGGGTTGCTAGCCTCATGTCCAACCTTTCCTCTTTACCAGCTTTTATTAATACTGGCTTAGCGAGGTAAAGGAGTTTGTTGGCCGGGATCGAACCCCGGACCATGTGCATGGTCGGCGAGCGTCCTAACCGCTGTGCTACCGATGCACGGAACAGACAATACAGGAAAAGAACTCATCATTGGTCGAGAGGCTATCTCTCGGAGAAATGAAAGAGACCTCTGCTCTTTCGACAATTTGGGGATCGGAGGCAGTGTGTACAAACACAAGGATAAACACGAGGCAACATCCGTTTCACCTGACGGACACACCACAAATCAGATGGACTTCACCTCAATGTCACTCGAGGGAGTGGAGAATCAGTCAGTCTGATGGACAAAAGGCCGAGAAAAGGAGCAGATGTGTGCGGGCTCAGACCATCACGTAGTTCAAGGATCCTTCAAGGTGAAGCTGAAATCAGTCAAAACAACTGGAGACAGACCACAATTCAAACTCAACATTCAGAAACTGAAGGAAAGAACTACAAGAAGTGGCTTCACTACAGATCAGATCAAATCAGATGAGAGCAAATTCGGAGACGCCACGTAGCATCAATGGGGAAACCTGTGTGGAAGAACGTTGGAATTAACTAGCAGTCTGAAGGTGGTTTTCAAGGAAACGTGCACAAGTGTTCTAGGAAGAAAGAAAAGACAGGACAAGGAATGGCTGTCGACGGCCACCCACCTTGAAGATGATAGAAGCGAGGAGAGGAGGATGTCGAAAGAGAAGATGACTCAATGCAGAGATGGGCAACAGAACGAGAAGCTGAATAAAGAGGTGAAGAAGAGTGCTAAGAAAGACAAAAGACAATTCTACGACACACTTGCTGGCGGCAACTAAAATAGAACAGGCAGGCAGGCAGCCTGCAGGCAAAAGAGACCTCAAGACATTATATCACACAACGAGTAATATATTAAGTTGCATCATCCTGGAGAGAATAAAAGATGCACTGGATACGGAATTCCGCTAGTCCGGATCAAGCTGGATTCAAGATTACGCGAATCATGTGCTGATGACACTGCAGCTCTACGCATCATCATCAACGAACAAAGCATAGAATGATGGTCAAACCCCCTAACTCAGCTCCCTTCATCGACTTCGAAAATGCATTCAACAGACAGAGTTGACTGAGAAGTAATTTGGAAACTAATTCAATAATAAGGCGTTCAGTGCAGAAATCTTTATCAACCTCATCTAACAGCTGGCTATATGAAAATGCAAGCTATGTGTGTCGGGTGATCCACACCAGAAAACTCAGCCAGGCATCTGAAGTGAATACAGGGGTAAGACGAGGCTGGCTGCCTACCATCATCAATGGTATTCCTAATTGAGGTGGACTGGATTATACCACAGGCTGTGCGATGACAGTGAGGAAGGGGACAGGAATATGCTGCACTGACCGACAAGAGGACTCTAGAAGTTCTGGATTTCGCATGTGGATGATCAGTCACATAATGTCAAACAAACTCGAAGACTTAGAGGCAGGCGAAAAGCAACAAACTGGCTGAAGAAGTAGGTAGCGAAGACAGAACTGCAAGTGAACCTGGAGAAAATGGGGGCGATGAAGACAAACAACCACTGTCACCACCAACAGCATCAGTAACAGCAGCAACAAGCAACACCAACCATCATCAACGGGAGAGATTTGACAGAGGTTACTTCCTGCCTTCATTTATCTAAGAAACATTGTTTCAACCACAGGCACATGGCACAGGTGAAGATATCAAAGCCAGCCAGAATCGTAAAGGTGAGATGCACCCTCATCACTCTGAAATCGGTTTGCAAATCTTCTACACTCCGCCTCATCATTACTGTAAAACAACATTCGGATTTTGAACACCAATGTCACTGCTTGTATTTCAGTGAGGAACTTGTCGTTGGTGTTACGAACAGCGGTTACAACAGCCAACTGTAGACTTTTGTCAACAGCTGCCTTTGCTGGCTCCATATTGAAGAGTGAATGGGCGGCCGGCCAGAAAGAATTAGCAACACAAAACTATGGAAACAGACCGACTGTGAGCCAGTTGCTCAACAAATGTTCAGGAGGAATTTGAGATGGATTGGTCACACACTAAGGAGACCGTGGAATGACATCGTGCGTAATACAGGTCATTTCTCCAGTGGAACCCGAATGGGCAATGACTAATGGGTCATCGGTGCGAGGGTGACATGGAGGCGATCGTTTGAGGAAAAGGAGATGACAGATAATGGGCAATCATGAGCCCAGGTGAAGAAGACAACAGAAAATAGGGCAAAGTGGTTAGGTTAAGCCACGTGGAAAGGCGTAGACTTCCTGGTTAGGGTCCTCGGGACAGTAAAAACCAATGGTTGGAAACAATTGGTGATATGGCTCAAAATCGTTCTCAATGGCGCAGATGCTTCCACTCCTTATGACTTACGACTTCCAATGAAACTATATTGTTCTTTGTTATTACTATCTCTTTGTCTCACACCTCCGTTTACCTCTCTATTATGCATTTCTTCTACTTTCTTCTCTTGCTTTGTGTACTACAAGGAGGGAGTGTGGCGACTTGAACTGCCGCACATTTGTGCAAGGTTCTATGTCGAAAAAAGACAGACAGAGCGAAGTATATTATTGTTATTTTATCCTTTAGTTCCTAGAGGAACATAGGGCTTCATCTGCGCACCTCCATTGCCTTCTGTTTTCTGCCAACCTTTTCACCCCGCTCCAAGTCTTCCCACACGCTTTCATCTCCTCCTCGCATGACGTCCTGCAAGTCACCCTTGGACGACCAACTCGCCGCTTGAGGGTGAAGTGGAGATGAATTATTGATAGAAGGATAAAAACTGGACACTGCGTTGTTGAAGCTCTTTGCTGCACTCCGAAACCAAGAGAAAAATAATAATAATTTCCCAATCATTACCCAATCCGAACTCCAGTAATGTCGACACCACCATACAAATCAGTACCTAATTGTCTTGTGGTTCTCAACAATAAAGACCACTAATTACGCACAAACTCTTTTAATGATAAACTTGCATGACATTCGGAGAACCGCAAAGTATTTTTAGATGCTATCAGTCCATATGTTTTGAGACTTATAAGAGTTAAGAAAAAGTAAAACACGAACTTAAAATTCATCTTTGAGGAACCATATCCTCAAGAACTAATGAATGCAAAGTAGAACTATTATTGTAAATCTACTTAATAAAATACCAATTCACCTTGAAAATGGAAGCAAGATTTAATTGAAATTTCCTTTGTGTAAGGCGTAGCTCAGCTGCACTCAGCGTCTGATGTTTGACAGACATTTTGTAAAAAATTATTTACCTGTGTGTCTTTCTGTACTTCCTAGAATGAAAGGAATGCTGCAATTAACACCGCAACCTTTGGACCGATTAATTTCTCTTATTCGGATTTTGTGACTGAACAAAGAAGTAGTAGTAAAAGTTTGGTACTTTTCGTGTCAGAAAATGTCATTTCAGGTCATAAATAGATTATTTCACCTCAAGTTTACTTACCTTAACTGAAAGAAAGTTTTTCAGAACAAAAGATGATATACATCATATTGCGATTTATGCATTATAGTCAAAATCCGTGCATCCTACGTAACTGATTTAATTCAAATGACAAAATATTTTTTTCTCATGCTAATCTCTTTCAGTACAAATGTGGAATAGTTTTTTGGTTGGTTTTTGAATATTTCATACAGCTGTAATAATGGATCATTAAAACAGGTTGATATCTTATCTTATACTGTTGTCCTTTCTCAAATAGGCCTGTCGATTTGGTCGTGTACAACATTTGGAGATATTACTTGCCTACGGAGCTGACATTAACGTCCAAACTTCGAAAAATGGTAACACTCCACTTCACATATGTGCGTACACCGGACAAGAGTCATGTGCTCGTATGCTGCTGTTTCGAGGTGCTGATAAAGCTATCAGGAACTTTAACGGTCATACAGCCTATGAACAAGCTATGATATCTGGTAATACAGAAATAGCTGATCTTATAAAGAATTTCAATGATCAGGATGTTGGTGAGTAAATGTGTGTATGAATTATAAGAATTTTTCCAACCTATATATCGAAAAACTAAATAATCGCCTTATAAAAGATTGGTTAGAGCTCTCCATCTCCCCTTTTGATGTTTTGGTATGTTTCATGTTGCTTCGTGTAGTCCACACTTCCAGAACTTTCATGAGAAAAACTTCAAAACTGAATTTGTGTTCTCAATTGAGAAATATCCGTCTGAACTAGATGCTTTGGAGATTTTCCATTATTTAAGTTATTGATGCTTATTATTTGTAAATTTGGTCAATATTTTGGAGTTTGTGTTAAAAATGACATGGATTTTAGGTAAATTAAGATCCATAACGACCCAGGTATCAACAGTATTAAGTTACAAATATAAACGTGAATCTCACCATGGGTGTAAGACACATTAATTACAAAAATAATCATCATTGTAGAAAAGAAATGAAACTCTGAAATCCAATAATATTAGTAATTAAGTGAAATTAACTGAATTATCACTGTAGAACATTGAATAAACCTATAGCTGTCCAATCTGTCCCACTTCATAAAAGCATACATAAAGGTATAGAAAAGAAACGCAATGAGATCACAACAAACGGGATTGTTCGGGAAAGAGAATAGTTATGTGAGTAATTATGAGAATTCAGTTTTAAATCATACATTTGCAATAACAACTGATATGAATTCTTAACTTCACCATTTGACTTTCCATAACACATAATACATGGCTGCATCATTACTGACCATATTACACACACATTTATGGTTAAAAACAAATAATTTTAAATCCTTTACTTGCATAAGGTACATGTGATAGCAATAAATGGAGACGAGACGAAGTACTCCACAGTTCAAACAGACTACGGTTAATCATCAGCAGACAACCTAATAAGGCCGATGCACCTCCGCAAATCAGTGAAGTGTTCAATAATCTCAAACATTTCACTTATTATCTTTAAATCAGGAGTCTGTGTGAGACAGTGCCGCAGCATTATCTTACACCTAACAGAGGCAGAATGCCTCAAAAATGAAAGATTTCTGTTTAATGTATTCGAAAGACTGTTTTTTTCCATCAAAATTATTTGCATACTTTAGATCAATGTGACTGTATCTTGGTAACAAGTTAGTCACATTGATTATGAGATTTGAAAATCTTCATTTTATAATCTTAAGTGGTTGGGTTTACATAGATGTTCTGATTTATTCAAATCGTGGGTAATACCCTTCTTTTCGGCGAAAAGATATCTTTGCTAAACTCCTTGTTCTTTTCCTTCTAACGCTCTGATTTCTGACCAATGAATACATTTTTCTGCCTAATAACCATCATCACTTGCTTACACATAAGGAATGTCATATCCATTTCTTATTAACACTGGTACTGACTGAAAAATTTAATTTAACTGAAAATATGATATAGACACTGACAATAAGAAGTGTGAGGAACACTTTTTGATGACTCTCTTAGATGACAAGACTTACCTGGAAATATGATCTGTTTGTTCAATACATTTTAAATAGCCTGATCACACGTCTTTTTGTGTAACCAATTTATATGAAAAAAAGAATGATGATGGACATCGCTTCTGATGTTATTATCAAGTAAGAGTTACCACGACTGCTTAAGTTTATTTATAGATTGCTTCTTTATACAAAAAGCTGACTTAATTTTATGAATAACTATTCTCTCAGCATATTTCCCAATGACCCGCTGGTGGCTTGCGTAAAAAATTGGGAAAGCCATTGTAACATTGGTTATTTTATTTACCTACATACTATGGATGAAAATGTAAGTTTACCATCTATGCTATTGAAAATCCAGGAGCCAAGTTGTTTTTATTCACCGCAACCTACTTCCCTATATTTGTATTAGTCCATAGAAGAACGTATGAAGATATAACGTATTGGCCTAAGTAATTAAATGCCAGTCAACAGTCCCGGGTTCGAACCCCGCCTAACCTGTCTTAACCTGGGAAAGTATAATTGGTCTTCACATAGAACGTGAGGACTTAACTTAGTACATGAGACTTCTGTTCTGGATAACTCAGTTTTATATGTGAATGTATATTAGTGTGCAATGTAGAATGTGGTGTGTTAAAGTGTACGGTGAAATATGTGTTCGGTATTTTTGACAGCGATACGTGGGGTAAATTGTATGTTTTTCTTATGATAGATAGATTTTAGTCTTAGCCTAAAAATTATGCTAATGATTTCCCATCTATATAGCGATTGAATGAAAACATCGTTTTCTGGGACAGATTGCGAGACAACCAACTCTGTATCTTTTGAAATGTGCACTGAAAAAATTACTCTGTTACTTGTGTACTACTGCCACGATTTCGAAAACAAAAATCAAGCAGAAAAAGAGTTCCTTTCTTTCTGATACCTTGCTTTGGCGACATCTAAGATTATGCAAACGTTTATTTTGGCTAAGATTGTTTAGCCAGCTTGAATGATGAGAATATAAAATTTAAAACTTTTTGACTTAATATGATGCAAGACAGCCTTTTAACTAGAGCAGATGTGTTACTTACTTTTGTTGTTGTTGTTTTGATAAGCACTGCTAGTCTTTTTTCTTTTAGTGCTTGTAACTGACATGCATACAACATGTTTGAACATGCTACTAACAATAGCGTATGTCAAAGTTCACTTTCGTTTATTAGCACAATCATTATCGTCTTCTTCAGCTTCAAACATACACTTGCATTAAAGGTATAGTTATTGCTGAAAATAAATCTGAGAAATAAAAATGGTTATTTGGCACTTGGTTTCTTTTACATCTATGACTGTTTATAAATTCTGAAGACAAGATAAAACTTGATTATATACATATGTTTGGATTCTTTGCAGACCGATAATAATAGCTGAATTATTATTGAGAACATGTTGTGGGGCCCAAAATAATTAGGAATCATAAGAATTATATATCACTACCTTCTTTAAGAGCAACATACAATATAATTCACTAACCTAGTTGTTTATTGATTTTTGGTAACAATACAGTTTTGGTTTTTAGAAAAAAATCAGTCTATCCCATTTAAACACTCTGCAAATTCATGTTACTGGTGACCAGCAGATGGATGATTATCACTCTTAACTTCGATTACTTTAACTGTATTATATGCACGAGCTTTTAAACAGATCAGGGTAGTACACATTATTTACTGAAACTATGTAGGAGAAATGTCTACCAGCAAAATATGCGGATTGTTTAAATTTCTGTAAACAAGTATAAAGAAAAAATAAACAAACAAGTCAATGAAACAGGATAATTCAAATTTCGTATAAATATAGCTAACACTAAGTTTGCAAAATGTATCTGGAGTAAAACCAAAGTGACTTTTCCTTCTCTTAGTGAACTGACTTTAACTTTTTGTTGGTCAGCGAAACAAACATATGCAATCAGCAAACAGTAGTACCAATGAATTACTTATTCATATGCGTAAAATTCGCATATATCTAGTAACCTGTTAAAATTACACCACAATTAATTTATTAGAAATAAACAACGTAGAGATTTAGTATTTTTCTGTTAACCTAACAATTAAACGTAAGTAAATTGGATAACAAACTAGAAAAATTGTCTTATCACCATTTCATGCTGGGTCTGCCCTACTAGACACTAGTTGATTCTGAACATGAATTTCTTGACGAAATTTTGTATACTGACGACTTTGTTTTACACATTAAAAAGCATCAGTGGGCTTCGATGCAACTGTCTTAAACCTTTGCTTATAATATATATACCATAAAATACAATACCTCAACCAGCCTCATAAATTTAACTGTGTTAAATTTGATCTCATCTGTGATCTTCTTAAATAAGGCCTATAAAAATTAAAAGTGGAGTACTTCGTCTTCATAACTGCCATTTTTCATAAGGAAAACGTTTCTTCAAAGAAATAAGGGATAAGTTCCTGCACTAAGAGGATAGAAATATTGACTAAAGTGATGATTTGAAACCTGAATAAAATAAATTATCTTTTTTTCAAATATGTGCGTCGGCGGTATAGCGGTTAGGTTGCTCATCGACCATGCTCATGGTCCGGGGTTCGATTCCCAGCCGACTCATTCCCTTACCTCGCTATGTCAGATAGAATGCTGGTAAAGAGGGAAGGTTGGGCATGAGGCTAGGTAACTCATCCTGTAAAATTAAACACTCCTACAGAAACTTCAAGCCACCAGCTTGAAGCCCTATGTTCCACTGGGAACGTGAAGGAAAAAAAATGTTTTCAAAAATAATTTATCAAATTTAAAACATAAAAGAATGTTAGTTAAAGAGTTTACACTTTTAGATGTATATGATCTGTGTTTTCTATTCATTTTACGAAAATATCCGTCTATCCTGAAATTTATTTTAGTTCCCATTCGCGAGTATCCAAAACGTAACCAGCGCCGACGATCATTTTCAAGAGTGAGGTCACATCAAAGGTGCTCCAGCATGGGAAGATTAAATGACATCTCAAAGCACAAACAAGGTCATAATGGTGTTGCTGAATTAGATAATCTGACAACCTATGATCAAGATCACTGTGATACATTGAAAGGAAATTGTACAAATAGAAGCAATGCTTGGATGAGTAACAGTATTAGCGGTTACCACTTGAACTCTGTAATATCAGACTCCATGGAATTCAATGATAATAAAGGTAAGAATATTTCTATAGTGCACTTGTAATTTCAGAAACGGTCATTTAAGAGGTTGGAACCAACCCTTAAGTCCTTTTTTTACCAGAGTATACATCAATCTCTTGTTATTCATCATTCGACTGAGAATATTCATCCATGCAAAAATCTCAAAGACATGCTTCAGAGATGCATAATTCCATCCAAAGAAAGAAAATGGAGGAGGTAATAAATTCTAAAATACTTCGGTTGAAGATTTCCTAACTGAGTACAAAAAAATGGTACTAAAGAAGGACAATGTGAGAAGGCACAACCGGTCGAAGGTGGGGCAAAGAAGTCATTCTACATATTACAGGAGATAAGACTTTATAGGCTTCACTATAGCTAACTCCTGCTGCATTACATAACATGTTTACTAGCTAGTACTCGATAGTTGTTTCACACTATGCACCTCTCTGTACAATAGACCACAAGCCAGACAGACTCTCCCTCTAACTAATTCACAAACATTTGGTTAAATACAACGTAAGTCAGTTCTTCCTAGTACAGGCATTTACCTGGTTATACATATGTAACCTATTTTTCATCTCATGAATAATTCCAACGAATTATTTATAAATATTCCATCACACTGAACGTTGAGTTACATATCAATTATTTGCACCGCTTCAGCCTTTAGATATGCCGTCTAATGAATGGAATGTTTATTCGTCTTTTAATGTGACCCTCTAATGGGTCATGAAAAAAATTACGGATTTTCCTTGGTGATGTGGGCAAACAAAGTGACTCACGAACTGTAGATTTTTCAACAGAAAAGTGTGTCCCTTTTTCACTCTCGTTCGAATGTTGCATGATTGTTACAGAAAATAAATCAAACTGAATACTTGTGAATGGTTATTTGTTCATGATTTGCATAACGTACTTCATAAACTAATGCATGATTAGGACACAAATCTGGTGGTCTTCACGATTCACAGCATAGTCACATCTAATCATCTGATATCTTACAAAACATAAACCTTGGAGAAAATTAAAAACAAATCAGCGAAGAAAATTCTCATTTCTGAGGAAGTCATACTTTTTTATTTGATATTTTTGATTTTTGATTATAGATTGATTCCACACCGTATTTTCGGTACAATTATGGGATTTTCAGCATGTGATATCGGTAGCCCAAATTTCGCAGGCCAACCATTGATATCAGATGTGCGTCAGCAGGGGATCAAACCGCGGATCATGTGCATGGTCGGCAAGCGTCCTAACCGCTGTGCTATTGACTCACGATGCTATTTATAATTAATAAACATATATAGCAGTCTATTAGTATTTCTATTATATCACGACTATTATCATATCAGTCCTAAACTCATTTCTGTCTATTTATTTTTTTACTAAGTAATACGATATTAGCTGTTTATTTCGTGTATTTTAGTAGTTTTTCCCACCTTCTTCAGGCTAGTCAAATGGGCATTGAATCACCTTGCTTCTTATTAGCAACAATGTCCACCTTTTCAAACTCTTATTTCTGTATCGTTGATTATTACTGTTTAACTTCTCTTCACCTGCAGAAATCACTTCTTAGTGGCTGTATCAATTATGTCACACACTCCTATCATGCAATAATTGACTTTCATACGATCTTATTGAATATAAACACAACTGTGTATCCTCTGAAGATAATATCATCGATAAAGAAATTTTCTTTGCTAAAGTGTCGGTATTTTACGTGGTTTAAAATACCGGTCTTTTTACAAAATGCTGGAGTAGTATAAAACTTAGTATACAATTGGTGGATGGTGGCTAGCAGTGGAATCCAGGATGCGCATTTCGTCCTATTTGGGACTAGTCAGCTGGATGTACCTGCATTTCTCAGTGAGTGATGATGTTCCCACTGAGGCTCGAACCCAGTGCCCATAAATTCAAACGCCAAAGCGTTATCCACTAGACCACTTGGGCCACGAGAGCCACCTCTTGTGCAACGGGTCATATTAATTATTGAATTGAATTTTTGATGCGCATCCTGGATTCCACTGCTAGCCACCATCCACCAATTGTATACTAACTAAATGCCCAGACATCGTCGAAGCATCTGCACAAGAAGCCGACATGTCAACCTGAGACCGAGCTTTTCGGTCCAAGCAATCGACGGGAAAATCAAAAATTCAATTCAATAGTATAAAACTTACTACCAGTAAATCAGAAATCTTCCTAAACGCATTGGCAAATTATTAGCTGTCTGCATTTTTCACTAAATCTACAAGTCAGCAACCTTAAAACACTGAGAAGGTACCTAATCAGGAAATGACGATATTTTTGGTGCATCTATAGCGTTATTAAGGTATACTGGCTGCTAGTTTACTTGTTTAAGAAAAGCTATGGAAGTTGACAACTTGTCGTGGGATATTCATTTTTAATTATGATTTTAAAATATTGTAAATCAAACAAATAGTTGGGCGATTTCTTTCAGCCAGCCATACAACCGAAACTATATACTTTTGTTTTTGTGTGTATAAATTCAGTTAGTCACGCAAACCAAAAAACACTGTAATACATGGTTTGCATTACCAAAATGTTTTGGGATAGTAAAGATTGGTCACAATGTAAGTAAAACTAGAAGTTGGACACTTTGGTAAAGTATAACTCCATCATAGAATAAATTTATTTGATAAAAGCCTGGTGATACTGGTGATAATTCATACAGAGTTTATTGGTAATTTCCATATCAGGGCACTCAAATAACTCTCAAACTTCTTTCATATATTTACACTATTTTTTATCCTTTTATTCTATTGGCAGTAATACGTTGCAGTGACTATGAAGTCGCGCCATATACCGCTAACTGGTAGAAGTTGGAACTCATGGGCCATTGGATTGAGTCCAAATGGCTGAATGATCTATGAGTTCACCTCGTAACGGGAGGTTCCTAGCTCCTTATTCCTGAAGAGTCAAAAACTAGGGCGAAACAGCTGCAGAGTACTTCCTCGGTCTCCAACTGGTTCCCTAACTGATGTCAACTCATGATTAAGATTATAACAAAATGAATGAGCATATATAAGCTAATTATGTCGCTGAAAGAATCTCTTCATTGTACTATATTTTTCTTACCTTCATGTCTAGATAGGTATATTTGTGCATTGAAACTCTAATTTAACTGCTATCTCATTTTACTCAAAATAAAACATATTTTTTCTTATCAAATGCAGACAATATGCCAACTGTTCACGGTCGAAACCATCACTTAGCGCAAAGTGGATCTGCGTATAATCTCAACAGACAAGCAAATAGTGTAAATAAAAGGCTCCCTCATACAGAAGATCCTATGCATCAAAACCATGCTTCCACCATTAGAACGACACAAGGTCGACGTGAAGGGCGTTCATCTACACCAGCAGCTTGTCATTCTTCCGGTGATTCGTTAAAAATGAACCACGTGACTGACCGACACAGTACTTATCGACCGACTTTGGACCTAGCTTGGATGTCACAAAGTAATGAAAACGGTTCGGATACAGCATCGATCTTCAGTGTTAGCTCATCTATAAGAAGTAAGTTAGATCTTATTTTATCAGTGTTATTTTGAATTGTCTGTATTTATTAGTGCTACTGAAAGCCAGGAATCCTAATTGCCAGACCACACGGGACATAATAGCAGAAGTATTTGAAGATGGCGAGTAACTGTTGACTGAAGCAACAAGATTTTTAGATAGTACTTTGTTTCTGAGTTATCTGCACCAAACTGATGTACATTGCTAACCGTCTCTGTTTATGATGAAAACGAGAGATCCTGCGTTGGTTGAAGTACCTATCTCAGTATGATATCAAAATTTTCTACTCCAGTGTCAACTAAAGGATAACTAGAACTGCGAAATAACAAATCTGAGAAAAAAGCACAGCATCTACACCAGCAGGTCTTGAAACGCTGACATACTCAGTTGTAACTAAGGAGGTAGTAATCCACTCGGTTGATTGAGAGATGTGGTAAAAATATCTAGCTGCCAAATAGGTATCAGGAGAATATGTGTTACTAATATGTGAATTCATACAGTTGTAAATGAAATTAGGGTATTGATACATAAAATGCAATTTGTTAGAGAAGCTTAAATTTAGCCTTAAAATTTATCATTGATAAGCCTTTTGGGATGATATGCTTGATATGTATGTTTTGGAAACTAACTAGCTACCAGCAAAATAGTGGGTTAGCTTAGCGTAAGCATTATTCAAGCCATTGTGTAACCTTAGGGCTTTCCTACTTGAGAACTACTACGAATTGTCAAAGCTACACATAGTGAATAATAATAAAATATAACTGAGATAACAGATGATTTCATTTATTGATCGAAGAAAGTTAAGACATGTCCTTCGCACTATTTCAGGTTGACTCACTTGTTTATCTAAATAAATTGTGACACAAAATGTTATATGCTAATTGTACTAATGCATGAAATAAGCTTTATCTAAATTTTGTTTCGTAACTGTTTTTATTTTGAATACAAAAAGCATCAACAAACCTTTAAGTTAGCTTTACATAAATATAAATACACTGCTTTGAGAAACATTCAACTTATAGTGTCATCATTTTCTTGTTTAAGCTTGTTTAAATTTGTATGAATATACAAGCATTCATATTTGTAGAAGAAATGTATTATTTCTTCGTTCAAAGAGGGAGAGGGTAACAATCAGCTCAATACATGTGTATTTACTTAAACAACCGTTGTGCACTGCTTTTGCCATTCTCTTAACTCTTATAGCTATTGAGTAAACTTCTGGAGCATTATTTGAAAATAAGTAGACAAGTGCTGCGTACTTACTATGCTACTCAGTAGTGAGTATATATCATTGAGGGTACAGTCATTTATATGTATAATTTCAGGCTTTCAGGTCAGCATTTGTACGCTTGCTATTGTCTGTATCATCATCATTGTTTTACTTGAGTATAAGGTTTTCTTTATTCGTAATTATTGATGTAAAACTAAACAGGTAGACAGTTAACCGGTACATATATTGATCTGAAATTCTGGTAAATACTGTTTAGTGTAGTTTTGACTAAATAATAGTTTGCAGAATAAAAAGAAGCTGAATATCTAGCTATAATACATCAAAAATCATCCAATTACTTGGAGGTGTTCCACTCGTAATGAGATAATCATAAATGAATTATCATGTAATTGTAGCGCACCTTTTGTGATATACTTTTCAGTAAAAGTTAATTGGAACTGGTTAAGTTGCGTGCCACAACGGTTGATAGTTTCATAGTTCGGTCAAGCAACAGGTTCTCATGGAGTTTTGTGTCATTCACACATTATCCCCCTGAAAGGACATCAAAACACAAAACAGTTATATGCCAATACATATATAAGATGTATTTTCCTACAGAAATGTCATAGAGTATTTAACATGCAGCGTATCATTAGACAGCTGTAAGGCCAAAGTTCATGTGACAGCTACTGATTTCTCACCAATAAATACGGTGTCAGATTTCTGTTTTCCATAATATTCATTGAGGAGAACACATGTCATCTGAACTATTATGAGTCTTATATCTCTTTAAATAATTTAAAATGAGTTACGTGACAATAAAATATCTTTTGTTACTATTAAAATTTAGTTGACTGCCTTGAGCTGGGTTCAGTTTCCGGCTGTTTCATTTCTAAACCTCTCCTAAGTGAGAGCAAGCCCAGAAAAGGACGAAGGTTGGGCATGAGGCTAGCAAAACTACCTGTTAAAAAACAATGTTTTTCATGAAAATTCAAAGCTCCGTGCTACATTGGAAACAAGGAAGGAAAAATGTGGGATTTTGGTTATCATATAGCGCTTGTTTGCCAATGGGAATGCACCTGCGATGAATATTTGAGTAGGAACAAGAATTAGTTGATTATATACACTAATCAGTGTAATTCTTAATTTGGCTGTATAACATCTAAGTATTTCCATTATGATAATTAAGGAACACAATTTATTTTATGGAGAATTCCCATTGGAACATACAGAAAATTAAGACAGGTGTTTCAGCGAAAAGAATTTTTCACAACTTTGTTTTTAAACTGTACAATCGTTTAGGTATAATTTTTTAAAATAATAATGTGGACTGCGACAAAATATTTGCGATCAGAATCATAGCTAGACGTTAAGTGGCAAAATAGGTTATATATACTTTAGAAAATGGTCCGTGGAATAAATCTTAGAAGGGGTTGTAGAATTAATAAGACTCGGAGGCAACTAAAACATTACTCATCAAGATGGGAATCATGATAAGACAACATTGCAAAAATCTGCTAGTATAAAGAAAGCGTGACAAGTGAAATATTGCTGGAAATTAATCAAGCGATTGTGGAAATGAGACTAAAATATGTGGTTATTACACGGTGCAATAATGAAAATAAAGATAGAAGTAAAAATAAAATAAAGGTTATCTTTAAAGTTATCCATAGAGAAAATTATTCTAAGTCAGTATGAAGGTCATGAGAGGGACACAAACTGGACAAATTTCTCTGAACACAAAAGCTGGGTTGAAAATTTCTTATAACATCCGCCTTAACAATGCTAAACAATCAAAGGCATACAAACCTATAAAACTGGTGACACCCTGTAAATAATGGTTAAGTCTGAATTTCTATCAATCTTGTGATCTGTATCGGCTAATATGGTACTCCTGAGTGACCTTATGATTGCTTTTTCTAATCACTCTGGACAATGTTGGTAGACCAGACGAGTAGTTCCATGTAAGTGTCTGCACGAGAGCAGTTAAATTTATAAATGCATAGAAGTAGTGGCGTACGCTTCTCCAGGATATCAACTAGACAACGGGTGATGATTTTAAACACAGTGTTGTAATCTTAAGCGTGGTGATAGATTACGGAAAATTTTTGTTTGCTAGTGTTCTCTAATCTACCATATCTGATATAAGTATAAAACCATACTATACTATATCTGATGTATGATAAAATAAATAATGTAGGAAAAGTGTTACCTACTTCGCAGGTTTCAGCGTCACTTTGCAGCGACACTGAGTGAGTCTTTAATTATTCCTTTTATCTTTTCACGTACTACATTAGTTTTAGCAGATATTACACTAAGGCATCATGAGGTTCACAATCACACTTAGCTCTGCTTTGGTCGACCAGTGGTTGGGGTAAGAGTTAGAGGCCTCTGTTAAATTAATAAAATTTTTGTATATTTTAATCATCTACATTTCAAGTGGAACATAGTTCTTCAAATTTTGAAGTTTCAGTAGCAGAGGTGTTATTTTTTGAAGGAGTGGGGTTGCTAACACCGTTTAAAATTCTCTGAATTTGCGAACCTTTATAAGTCAATAATCTGAACAAAGCTGTAATGTAAAACACCCTCACAAAAGGATTCGAATCAGCTGTATTCGATTTGCTCTAAATAATAAATTATGGCATCTACTTATTGAATTCATTTCAATTTCACCACATTTGCCAAAGGTTTTGCTTACCTTTGACCTGAGCAACGGAAGATGTACACTTCTGGGTTATTTCTTCTTATCCCGTAACACCTGAAAACCTCCTTGAGGCTCCAAAGATTTAAAATGACAACTGAAAGTTAATATCGTAATAAAGTTATACAAACAAAATTATTTGAACTTCACTGTCGATAATTTGGGTTTCCGGGTGAGATATTGTAACTGTTCAGTATTAACACTAATGCTTCAGGCATGTTCCCATTTCTTAGTAAGTCTGAACAAGAATGCTATCTACAGGATACATAAAGATCAATATCAGAAATATGCAATATCTTATGAAGTCATTACGTCATCCTTAAAAAATATTCCTATTTCTCATATAATATATCTATCGTGTCATTATGTAATTAGAAAACAACATGCCTGACATGTGTCTTAGAACAAGCTAAATGTAGAAAGAGTCGAGAATAACTGTTTGCGTGTCACTAATATTTTGCATTGTTCTACATCGCTAATTATTTCACATCAATCTCTGTAGGTTCTGCTCCCAGTTATGAAATAATAAAAATAAACACATGCCACGATTATTGTATCAGATTGCCTACTATAGTTTACGCTTGTTCCTGTATAAAATTTGAATTGTATTGTTCTTATACATATGGATTTGGCTGTTCTGAAATATTAATGATGTACCCTAGTGATTTTTTGTGTGTTTTATTTGTAAATTGAATATATATATTTAAATAAGGGATTTAAGGCGTTGTACACTTCCGTGCATTTGATATCTACGTATCAGTCACTGATTAACCTGTTCATTAACGCACATATCTAAACAACCTAAAAGCAAGACATCTGGCCTTAGCTCAGTGAATAAATTAATCTGCTTTCAATAAAATATTCAGTTGTTAATACTGATGAGAACATTTCAGTACACACGCATACAGTTCAGGCAAACATACACGTACAGAAAACAAGGAGACTGATACATTTTATTACCTAAAATATAATTAAACTGAGGGTAAGTCCAAAAAGGTAGATACATGATGATGAAATTTGAGTAGCTCATTTTAGTTAAAGGGGGAGATAAAGGACAGAAACAAATGAAAAGAACAAATAAGAATGGAA